GCTAATAGCTATCTGCGAATTTAGTGCAAAAACGCATGATCGCACCGGAGAGCCCGGTGCATTCCAGCCTGGGTTTTCTTCCTTCACAGAAAGTGCGCCGATATCAATAATTGATAGTTTTCCAACTACATAAGTATTAGTCTGGTTAGGCCCTGCTCTCCTCTCTTATTGTTTTTTTTTAATTGGTTCCTTTTTTATCGCTTAAATTGTAGCCCATTTTCTTAAAAAAGCTTATTTATCTTTTATCAACACCACAACCGCTACACTGTATCGCTGAACAGGAATGTATTAACTTAATGGACCGAAACATTCCTCTTTTAATTTTTTGATAGTTTTATATTTTCTCATGTAATCAACATAAAATTTCTACTACCGGCGTACTTTGGTCACTTTTCCATCGACCAAAATGAGGAAAACATAGTAAAACAAAGATTAGCAAAGGAAAACGCTATCAGTTAGATACAAACTGCGCGTTAAGCAAGCATAACATCCAAAAAACTTGAACTTCATTTGCGAGCGACTGCCCCACTGCAGTACGTTGTGACACACCGGTGCTTGCCGGATTTCCAACATAGCGAGCAAGTTTGCGGGTAGGTTTTTATTCACTAAGATGCAATGGGCCTCTTTTTTTATGGGGCTCATAACATTTTCAGCTTAACTTTAGAAGTGACACCACATTCAGCAATAAAATCAATTCGAACTGAAAAGCCCGTCGATGATGATCTTTTCGACAAGCTGCTCAGATGGCAAGCTGCAAGTATTTCCACGCTCTTACTTGCTCCATTTCTTTCTGAAAGTTCGACAGAAAAACGAGAAACAATTCTTTTTCCGATCCTTGTTGATCAAAATATTACAAAAATTAAATTCTGAGCTTCTAGTCACGATGTGTCATTGGTTTAATTAGATATGTGGTTAAATTTCCAGTGACTTTTAATCCAATGATCCATTTTCACTTGGCACTGATCTTGCGGTACACCACGAGTTCATCGAGTGAATGTCACAGTGCAGGTCATCCATCTTTTGCTTACTGCAAAAAGTTCCGGTTTACCGATCATTTGATTAAAAAAATAAGATTGATTTGCTTATGGACCGATCAATCAGTTGATCGGTATCGTTGTCTTTCATTGTGACTTGTTGACAGA